ACAATAAAAACTGATGCCTTTGGTTGGTTTCTTAACTCCATTTTGAAACAAAAAAACTACCTCCACTTTAAACTGATTCCCACGATTATTTAACCGTTCCCTCCCCTTTGTTTAAACAAAAAGAAGTAAATTGCAGTTCCGAACCCGAATGTTCTATTATTTGCACCAGAATCCCAAAGTTAATAGGTTTGGGTCCAATCCACCAAGGGTAAACTGGCCCATTTTCTTACATAGAAGATGACAAAACACGATCTAAGAGCTTCCAAACAAACCACAAGGATTTGTAAGATAAGGAAATAAACTACAAGAATTCTTAAAAAAGGCTTAGCAGGCCTTGCATTAGGAGTTGATGATGACTCTTAAAGCCATCTCTAAATAAGTTAAAACCAGCTAAATTACCTTTCCAAGTCAAGAAATATCTTCTATGAAAGAAGGACAAAGGGGTGTTAGTAATCTTATGAGTAATTAAAGGAGAGTAAAGTGATTAAGGGACAAGTTCCATTGGAAAAGCATCTAATTGAAGGAGTATGTAATATCAAGTTTGTGACATTATGCAAATTCAAAGGTCTACCACCAAAGATGGTGGTTTAGAAGAATCATAGAACCGAATCCATATTCCACTCCAAATTGCTGATAAGTAAGTCTATACTATCCATTAGTCCCTTCAAACCTAGGACGAGTTGTATGGACACTTAATAATAAGAGCTCTAAATTTGTTATTTATTTGATCTCGAGAGATTGAGCAATAAGTGAAGGCTCCTTAAATTGAATAATTCTCCAAATTTGCTTGGCTAAGAGGACTTTTTGTTAATCAAACTAATTAGTCTAACTCATAAGCCACATTTGACCATTGGGAGGAAAATAGTGATTTTCATGACAAGAAGATGAATTTTCTTTTTTCTTTCTAATTTACCCCAAAAGAAGTATAAGCATTGTCCATCGATTTGGCCATAAATTTTCTGATAAATAGAGGTGAAATGCTGGGTTGCCAAAGAGGACAATTCTTGTTGATTATCAGTCAAAGTATCACCAACTCTTTCAGAGAAGTAATTGTGCTACAAGTCTTCAATTTGCTTAGTGTGGCATGAAAAAATTTTGTATTCCTTTATCCTTCAATTTGCCACTTGATTTTTATTCCTTAGGCCCAATAAGTAGCTTAGCAATCATTAAAAAAAATAACAAAAAAACACTCAAGTTCATGTTTTACACTTCTGATTTCTATGTCAAGAGCATCGTGAGAGAAAGAAATTGAGTCAAACTTGGTTAGAGAGATCATGCAGTTTCCTTTCTGTAAGGTTAATTATACGAGCAACATATGAGGTTGACTCCAAGTGCTAAGGGAGGAGAGGGTCCCATCCATTTTGCAATGAAGATTGTACCTAGGAGAACCCATGACTTCCTACTATGAACATTGATCAATAATCACTTGACATTAGAGGTAACCAAAACCGAACCATAACCGAAGATCGAACCAAACCGAAATTAATTCGGTTAATTCGGTTTTTATTTTTTTCGGTTAATTTTTTCGGTTATTTCGGTGTTCGGGGTTCGGTTCGGTGATCACAATAAAATTTCGGTTATAACTGAATAATCAAATAATAAACCTTTTTTTTTTATTTTTCTCTTTTTCCTATTATTTTTATTTCTCTCCTTTTTTTTCAAAATACTTCGCCCTCACCATTCGGTCCCTCTCTGGCTCTCTCACGCATAGCCTCGCTTTCTCGATCTCACTCTTGCGGTCTTGCCCTATTGCCCTAAAATCTAAATCGCATGCCGCAGCCTCAGGTCTGAAAGTAGTCACTCAGCTTCTCACCTTCTCCGAGCTCAGCCATCGTCAGTTGCCGTCAAGCCGTCATTGCCTCGCCTCTAGTTTGTGGCTTTACCGCTTCAGTGTATCTGAACATTGCCTCGCCCCTGCTTCGTCTCTGCCAAATTGCCACCCTTGCGATTCTGTGAAGCCTTCCATGCTTTGGCGTCCTCTCCAGTCTCCGGCAACTTCATCTTCTCCGGCAGCTTCATCTTCTGTGACAACTTCGTCTTCTCCAACAGCTTCATCTTCTGTGACAGCTTCGTCTTCTCCTCTCCAATCGCCGACACAGCCATCTTGTGGTGAGTTTGATGATCTGTTCTCGTTTCTAATAATGTTGTGTAGTGAATAATAGGCCAATCTATTCTGTTATATTCATTAATGAACAAATAGAAAACTTGGATCCGTATGTTATGGCTTAAATACATGTGATTGGAACAATTTAAAGGGTAACGAGTGTGATTTTTCACATTGAGAAGATACACAGAGTTCAGGCTCTTAGACTCTTTGTATCAAATTTCACTCTATTATCTTGATTTAACAGATAGGGAGAATGGGTAATGCTCAAGTTATATAATTTGAACCGCACTAAGAAGTCATATTAATGGGTGATGCTTAAGATACACAGAGTTTAGGCTCTTGGTGTCATTTTTCACATTTGAACAAGTCATATCATTTACATATAGAGAAATTGTTGGGCATTAGTTAATACTTAATAGCCTGCTTATATTAAGAAAGCACATCAAGCTTGACATTTATGTGAGCTTTCCAAAAGCGTCGCATAAATTGTCTTAACATTTTTAATGCTTTATATCTTCAAATAACTTCACATACCAATCATAACTATATTCCAATAAGTAAAATATAATTTAAGCATGTCCAATTTGCCAAGGATATCAAATTTGAGTGTGGATGGGGATAAGTTAAGTACAACATAGATCTTCAGAGCTGAAATTAATAGTAGGCAGTAGGTAGTTCAACATTATTAATTATTATTGTAAAATTGAAAAAAAAACACACACACACATACATAAAAGGAAACTCTTTAATGAACAATGATTTATTGGAAGGGATTCAATATTAACTAAAGTTCGAACCTTACGAGTGATAATAAAAACGTGTGGGAGAGTTATCTCTGATTTGGGCCCAATAATAATACTTCCATAGGTTTACTGTCACCAAAGATAGTTACTGTGTCAAATTTCGTACCATTTCCATGATCATGATACCCTGTTTTATATATCAAACCTTCTTGTATTTAAGTCATTTAATTACAGACACATGATCATGAAAAGTTATTTGATTTCATATTCATTATAAATTGTCCTCATTTGGTTTCTTATATAACATGTTGTCACTAGTTTTTTTACTTAATTAGATGTCTTCTCACGGTGAAACCATGGGTGATGCTCAAGTTAGGGATGATGGTGCTACTCAAACAACAAAGCCTTCAATGCCAGTAACAAGTGGAACAAAAAGAAAAAGCATGAAGCCAAGATCAAAAGTTTGGGAGCATTTCACCAAATTTATGAATGAAAAAGGTGAAATTGGAGGTAAGTGCAATTATTGTGGAAATGATCTTGCATGTGATCCAAAAGCTAATGGAACCACTGCACTTAACAACCATATGAATTCTTGTAAATTGAAGCCCCCTCCCGAAGAATTTGCACAATCTCTTTTGAACTTTAATGTAGAAGATGACAAAATAGGTCTTGCAAATTGGAAATTTGATCAAGATGCTATTAGAAAAGCCTTGTCATGCATGACAATTACTAATGAATTACCTTTCAAGTATGTTGGTGGGAGTGGGTTTAAGCAATTTATGTATATTGCTCAACCTAAATTTAAAATTCTATCAAGATGGACTATTGCTCGTGACTGTTTTGGAATTTATATTGAGGAAAAAGTTAAATTTAAAGATTATTTGTTGCATAAAAGGCAAAGGGTCTGCCTCACCACTGATACTTGGACTTCCATTCAAAGAATTAATTACATGTGCATTATTGCTCATTTCATAGATGATGCATGGACATTGAGAAAGAGGATTTTGAATTTCATTCCAATTTCTAGTCATAAAGGAAAAGATATTGGAATAGAAATGGAAAAATATCTACTTGAATGGGGAATTGAAAGGGTGCTCACAATTACTGTGGATAATGCCAGTTCTAATGATGTCATGGTTCAATATTTAGAAGAAAAAATTGTGAATTGGGGCCACTCAATTATGAAATGTCAATTCTTACATATGAGATGTGTTGCACACATAATTAATTTGATTGTTACTAATGGGTTGAAGGAAATAGGGAGTTCAGTGAAAAAGGTTAGAGAAGCTGTCCATTTTATTAGGCAATCACCCCTTCAAATGAAAAAGTTCAAAGAGAGTTGTGAGGATGAAAAGATTCAAAGTAAACAGATTTTATGCTTAGATGTCCCAATTAGGTGGAACTCTACCTATTTGATGTTAGAGACTGCTCAAAAATTTGAGGCAGCCTTTAAAAGATTTGAGTATAAAGATCCTTATTTTTTATTTGACTTGAAGATGGGGAGGGGTTGCCTGAGTCTGAAAATTGGAAGAATGTTAGGAGGATGATCATGATGTTGGGTCATTTTTATGAGCTTACTGTGCAGATTTCTGGGTCTTTATTTGTGACATCTAATACCTTTTTCCGTGGAATTTACAAGCTATATCGTTTTTTGGATGAATGGACAAAATGTGATGTTTAGGAATTGGCTTCCATGGCAAACAGAATTAAAGAGAAATTTGATAAGTATTGGGGAGATCCTATGAAGATGAACTAGCTTCTTTATATTGCTGTTGTTCTTGATCCCCGGTATAAATTAGATTGGGTGCAATTTGCCTTATGTAAAATGCACACAAGTGCAATTGGTACAAGTTTGGGGATGCATATTAAAGAAATGTTAATTTCTTTATATAATGAATATAAACACACTTTTTCCCCCTTAACCCAATCCCAAAGGGAGCTAGTGCATATCACACAAGATGATTGTCATAAAGATGATGACCCTTCTGTAAAAGTCAGAAAATTGCTTGATATTGAGGAACAAGAGTTCGTGAATGAGCATCTTGGTGGAAAAACTAGCAGAACTGAGGTTGATAGATATCTGAATGAAGAAATTGAGGTTAATAAAGAAGATTTTGATATTTTAGGTTGGTGAAAGCTAAATGGCCCTAGATTTCCTATTCTTTCTCTACCAGCTAGAGATGTTTTGGCTATCCCAATTTCCACAGTTGCATCAGAGTCTACATTTAGCACTGGAGGACGAGTTCTAGATTCATTTAGGAGCTCTTTAACTCCTAAAGCTGTGCAATCTCTAATTTGTGCTCAAGACTGGCTTGGACACTCAATTCAATATGTCGTAGAAGAAGGGAATGATGATATTCAAAAGATAGAACTTGGTAATATTTTACTTTTACTTCATAATATTATAATGCTTGATTTATTGTAATATATGAAGTCTGATTTTGTTTTTTTGTGTGTGTAGATTTGCAAAAAATTGCATTGGAGGCAACTGTTGATATATTGTAAATGCCAGGAAAAAATACTTAAGTAAACAAATCTTGTGCTTTGTTTTTTTTCTAGCTCTAAAGTTGTGCGCTCCCTAATTTTCTTATTTTTTTTGTTTAATTGTAGTTGTTGGTGGCAAGTTGCATGCAAGGAATTGGGCACAAGGATTAGCTGGAATTAGTTGTAATTTTAAATTTCACATGTTATGCTATTGGTACTTGGTTGGTTTGTTTGGATTTTAACTATATTTGGATTTTTTTGGCTAGTAGTTTATATGTTCTTATAGATTGATGCTTGAAAGAGGTTGATTATTATTTATTCTATTATTATGTATTTATGTTTTAAATTTGATATGTAACTAACATATAAAAAATGGGAAATGGAGGACCTCGAAAATTTGAGATGCAAGTAGCAATTCAAATTGGAGACAAATATTTTAATGGGCCATTTGGTGCTTGCAAAAATCGTTTGGTGTCATAGCAGGCCAAAACCGAACTAGGAGAGATAATAATATGTTAATGGGATATATCCAAAAAAAAAACCGAAAATGGTTCCAACATCTTTGGGCCATAATAGTATTGAAGGGGCCCAATAACCGAATTATGCCCCTAACCCAACCAAAATATTTTTGGTTATTTCGGTTCGGTTATATTACTGAATTCGGTTTCGGTTCAGTGTTATTTTTATCCTATGTTTGATTATTTGGTTATTTCGGTTATTTGTATTAACCGAACCGAATAACCGAATACTCACCCTTACTTGACATTCTTTGAAAAAATTCCAATAAGATTCATAGCTCCCTATTATGTCTTTCTTTTGAACTTGATTAGTGGAAAAAAGGATTGGTCTATGATCAAAGGCTGCAGTGGTAGGAGTATTGACAAAGAAGAAGGGGAAAGGCTAGAGTCAAGAGATGTTGCGGAGTGCCAAGTCTAATCTCCATAACTTTGTTTTCACCTTTCATATTTGTTAGTGCAAGACACGCAAAAATATAACACACTACCTTTGTGCACTGGTAGGGTTATTTTATTTAACTTTGAATTACTAAAAGCCAAGTTTCATCCTAAAAAACCAAATTTATTTATTAAAGAGTTCTTTTCCGAAACATAAAGTTCAATCCTGCCTAAGGAATGAGATTTTCTGAAAGAAAAAAATTCAAACTTTTGGAATGAATTTTCAATGAAGCATGTCCAGTAGTTCAAGTACTTAATTTAACCATTTTTTTCTCCAAAATTGGTACAATTATCTGAAGACTCGGGCTTGCGTACTACGCTTGAATCCATTCTCTTTCTTTTTAATCAAAGGTTGAATTGGGTGGTTATAAAATCAGAATGAGAAAATGATGAGAAATGTAATTTATTCTTAACTAAATAAAAATGTAAATAACCTCAGAATATACAGTAAGAGTAGGAGAGAATATCATTGGTATATGGCGTGGGTAGGAAGGACGAGAAATAATGAACACAATAGTAGATTTATATTAATTCAACCAAACCCACGACAGCCTACGTTCAGTTTCCAAGAACGTCCAGAGACTATATTTTCAAGATTTATTTTGGGCTCTTTGACGCCTCAATACAATCCCTCAAATATAATTCAGGTACCTGGGAACCTCAATTCTTTAGGTCTGATCTGGTACTACAATCACCTTTTTTAACTTCACGTAAGGTAAGAACTCTTTTCAGAATAATAAAATGAAGCACAAATATCTTCTCTTACAGAAGAGATTATGATAACACTTAATCTAAGTTTTGGAACTCTTCTCTCTTTCTAATAAGTAGTGCAATGCACTAAATACAATTTGAGAGCATTGGCAATGAAGCTTAATAATGATTGCAACAGTTTCTCTTCAGAACTTTAGGGTTCTCATTCTTTTCTTTTCACTTTCTCCAATGTTGATTTTAAAATTTGTGGACTTTAAAGTCCATTTTAATTGAGTCAAGTTTTATCTTTTGAGCATCAAGCTTGATTTCAATAGTAGTTTGAAGAATGTTAATTTTTATTTTTATTTATTATATTTTACCAATATTCATAATTTATTTTTTTGCTTTTTCATTATTGTTTGGGTTAATGTAATCTTTGGTATCTTAAATTTGCCCTTATTTTGATTTTAACCGATCAAATTTCAAACCATAGATTTTAATTCTTCAAAATACAAAATGGTCTAAATTTTTATTAGATTATAGAGACCAATGTTTTAAATAAAAAGAAATTTGAGGGACCAAAGCTATGATTTAAAATTTATTAAGAGACCAAAACCAAAATAAAAGTAAATTACAGGATCAAAGTTTCTATTAACCTTTATTTTTTTATTACTTTTATTTGTGAAATGATGCATTTTGCCAAATATTTTAGGAAAAAAGGCCCCAAAAAAACCATGAAAATAGTAAATTCTAAAAAAGACTCTTAACACTTGCAAATGACAAAAAATGAGGGACAACTAGAATAGGAATTATAACAATATGGGGAAATTAAAAAAAAACAATCTAATAGTTTGGGAAGGGGGGATAAAACACATAGCAAAGGCACGTTTGTTGGGTAATCTCTCACCCATTGTGCTCCATTTTGTCTCAACTTTTGACCTATTTCTGCCGTAATATTTTTGGTGTGAGGGGAGTGATCATAAGGGCGGACTATCTTGGTTGTCGGAGAGGAGAAGAGATTGCATGAGAAGGTTCCATTTTTGAGGGGAGAAGGAGCCAAGGTTGCTAGAAAGCATGGACAGTTATGGTGGGGGGGGGGGGGGGGAAGACTATGGGAAAGGCGTGGAAGGAGCTGCCTGAGAAAAACAAAATCACTATCTTAATGTCCAATTGTCATTTTATGTATGAAAATCAGTTACTGCCATGGTCATATTGGTTTTTTTTTTTTTAAAAGGCCAATAGAAAGTTGTTATTCCCTATTGAACCGTTGTTAAATTTAATATGTTCATGTTCCAGTTGCTGTGTAAATTTTTAAATTAGAAAGTTGGTAAAATATAGTGAGAAGTTGTTATTGTTCGCTCAATTTTCGGTATTTGATGTAGACAATAGTTTTCTCTAAATTGCCAAGTGTTGATGTTTTAAAGAGCGACTTGTTAATCTTTATTCAAAAGTTATCAAAATCTATCATGATCTTATCATTTCCAGCTCAATTCTATGCATTTGGCAGTAACAATAGTTTTTTAAATATTGCTAAGTATTGATATTTTAAAAAGCAAGTTGTTAATTTTTATTTGAAAATTGTCAAAAGTTAGAGTGTCTGGTGAAATTTCCCCAATAAATTTAACAACACCTTTTTTTGACAGGGAGCATTCCAAGCAACATTATTCCATCTAAGGCAGCCTCTTGCAATTTGGACCACGATTCCAAAATCCGAAACAAGCCCTTCATCTTCGTACAACATTACACGAACTAATGCAGATCGCATATGTATTATTACCCATAGCTTTGATAAAATTTCAATTTAATTTGTTTTTTATATTTATTTATTTTTTTTAAGGCCTATTTGCCTTAGAAGAGGGTAGAGGAGAGACGGAAGGATGGGTTGGGAATGGTGGGGAGGTTTAAACCTTACATTGTTTGGTTTGGTTAAAAAAAAAAGAAGAAGAGAATGATATTTAATAATTCCTTGTTTGGTTTAAGAGAGGGAGAGAAGGAATAGTAATAATCAATTTATTATTTTACCCTTATATATTAATTTATATTTTTATTTATATATTATATAAATTAATTTACATCTCAATTCAAATTATATAACTTAATAAAAATTTAGTCATATCATGTTAATATATGCATTAAAATATTAGTACAGTAATTTTTTATTCTAACTGATATAATAATATATTTTAAATAATTAAATTAACAAATTTTATATGCTCTAAAAAATGAACTTTTTGTTCTCTTTTGGCTATGTTTTTTTTTCAGCTTTAAAATATATTTTAATTAATAAAATAATATATTTATAAAAAATAATTAATTTTATAATATTATAATTGTTATTAAAATAATTTTTTATTTTTATTATAATATATTTTTAATTATGATAATTTATTTTTTTAGTTTTTTACTTATGATAATATATTTTTATTTGAAATAAATATTATAATAATTTATTTTATGGGTATTAATAGAATATTAAAAAAAAGGAAAATAACAACAAAATACCATGTGAATTTCAAAAAGACAAATAAGTCACATGAATAAGCAAAATGACAAATAGGGCACTGGATACAAATCTGGAATTCAAATTTTTGGCCAAAAGATCGAATTGTCCTGATGAGTGAGGTAAAAAGAAGTGAAACTGATGAGAAAATAAACATAGCAATCGATTGAGCATCAAGTGAAGAAGGAAAGAAGAATGCTGGAACAACACATTAAAGCTGACAAGAGGTAAGTTTAAGTCAGTAGTCTTTGGCAATGGTATAATCTTACTCCTCCGCATCACCATTTTGTTGGAATTGCTGATTTAATAGATTTTAGTTGTGGGCAAGAGGGTTTGTAGCAAGAGAGAGAGTGAACATGTCGCATTACGTGATGGTGGGGTTTAGGTAGTTCTTTTTTGTGGCTGCTTTATGGCGCAATGGTGGGGACAGGTGTGTTGGAGATAAGGTTTTATACTTTATATTGAGTATTTGGAATGACGTAGCGGAAATAAAAAAAGGTGGCAAGCAATTACGTAGGCGTGAAGTTTGCGTTCAGGTGGTGAACGTTGTTAAAATCAATAATGGAGTTGTGAAACCCTATAATAAAGTTGCGAATAGAAGAAAAGTTTCTCTGTGTGTGTGTGTTTTGGGTGTCACGTACGTTGATGGAAACTAATTCACAGAGAAGTTAATTTTTTTTATTTAATGTTGTTTGCTGCAGGTTGGCAAGTAGTGATGTCTTGTAACATTGTATCAACATCTTCAAAAAGACTTGCTTGTTATTTTCACGTAGATGGAAAGTTTGTAGAAAATGGCGATGGTGAAGTTAAATACTGTGGTGGGATTGTCAGAGTAAGAATAATAAATGAGGGTACAAAACTTGAAGATTTGAGGGCAATGATAGGAGAATGGTTCAGCATAGATTGTCATGGCTGTGATATTAAATACACTTTGAGTTTTGATGAGAGGGTATTAGTAGATCTTATAGATGATGGTGAAGTTGATAATCTATTTG